AAATAGTTGTATTTTGTGAAAAGTTAGTTGAATTAGTAACGTAATCATAATAAAAGCTGTCTTTGTCCCAAACACTGCTTGTAGTTATGCTGTATGGTTTAGTTATATAAATTTGTATCTAGCCCAAATTTGTACAATTTGTATCTTAAACAGGAAGGGAAAAACCAACTCAGAAAAAACTTCACGCTCTTAAAGTTGGGCAGAAAGTTATATCGTAACTGTCGCCTAAATATTGTATGTGTTGTGTGTACATAACTGTGATCATTGAAAAAATATCGACACCGCCAAACGCAGATTATACTAAAAGAGGAACATTAGGCGGGTTCGTACTGGGCATTTCAAGAGCACTTGAGACGAACTTGTCTGTGAACGGGTTCTGCTTCAAACCGTTTCACTTGACTGATTGTACTTAGTGGTCTAGGAAACCAGAAAAGATCAAAGCCCCGAAGTGTACCGGCTCAAGTGTGGTCGATACCTTTCTTGAGAGTGCACTTGTCCAATCAACGGGTTTACAGCTAATTAATGACTTGTCAATCATTTGTAGATGGGAATGTTTCCGAAACGCGCGCGATTATTGCGAAAAGGTGAAAACTGACTTTAATATCAAGGTGGTTCGCTTTGCGGCAGTATCATGGCGTTTTTCAGTCAAATGGTAAATCAAATGGTAAATCAAATGGTAAATCCGGATGATCTCCTGGACATCAGTTTAATGTAGGTTCTGCCTTTTTCATCCTTTACCAAAGACGTGAGGGCTTTTCTTGGATCATTGGAATCTTTCAGTACGGCAAGGCAATGAAATTATTTTCCTTTTTTAATTTTATTTACAGACACAACGTAGATTCTAGGCTTAGTGCGTCCGGTATTAGTAACGAAATGCAATTTAGTCCTTCTGTTTACTCCTTTGAGCCTATTCAAAGCAGGAGTTTGTCAAGTTCACCGGCACTACAGGACCATCACGTTGACTTACAGCCCTCTTCGACAACGAAAAAGTAAAGTTTCTTGTAGCGGAGGAAATACGTAGAGAAGGCTTACATGAATAAAACTAGCCCGTCTTACCAACAAATTGAACAAGATAAACATTAACGTCAAAATAATCTTCAACCTCCGTGGTCGCATAGTGATCAGTCCAGCATTAAAACCAAGAACTGCAGCGATTTTCCGCGAAATATGATTCCTCAACTTAGACAATTTTTCCGCGAAAACTGCATTGAAGTCATACCTGCATGTGAACGTGTGAACGTTGTTTCGACCTATGTTTCGACAGAAGAAACTGAAGTGCACTTCAAGTACGTTCTAAGTGCACTTGGACTCAAGTCCACTTGAAGTACACTTGAGGGTCTAGTGTGAACCCACGTATTGAAAACTTGTCAGATGAGCGGAAAAAGGAAGTAGAAGAACCGGAAGTGGATCCTTGTATGCCTTGTAGTTCCAACATGGCGGCGTCTAGAGTCGGATTCTACGGTCGTTTCGCGGGCCTTTTCGCTCGCGCGCCTTACTAAGGAAAGCTTCATCGGTAAAGGAATGGCAAGTTCTAAACTGTTTTCAAGGAGATTATGGCTTGAGTAAAGTGCCTTTTGAAAAGACTTTGGTCATCGGGTGCTTTAAGGAGAGGTTCAAACGCTAACTCATCCGGACGCGATATCGCGAACTTGTGAACGAGATCGGTGTAACAGTCGCTTTCCTCTAAAACATTTTTTCAGGCTACACGACCGTTAATACTATTCATTAGCCCTGCAAAAAAAAGGAAAGCATTCAGTGTTTTACCACTCGAAATTATCCTTTGTCTGCTTGACAAAAAGTAAGTCACGTTCCAGCAAGAACCAGCTTGATCGGAAGAAAAGACTGGCACCTGCCCGTTCAAGTTATTCAACCCTGTGCGTAGTATCGTTACTAACATTTAATACCCGCANCTGATTCAACAAGAGTAGTGTCATCAACATATTTCCAAAGAATTGTGTCTGCTACAGAAAGATTATTTATCATGATAAGGAACAGCCAGGGGCCCAATTTCATCCCCTGTGGTACCCTGCAGGACCAGCTTCCCACTCCGAGAAGCAATCGCGGCTCAGTTTTATCCTTTGCTTACAGTTCATTAAAAAGTCCATGATCCAGCACAAAACCGACCTTGGAATATCGTAGGAGGAAAGCTTCTGTGCCAGAACATGATGGTCAATCAGATCAAATGCCTTCCGGAAGTCATAGAGTACAACTCTTGTAGTCGATCCATTTCCATCCGTTGACTTCGCCCAAGAGTGAATCATACTAATTAATGCATGCGTGGCACTGGATTTAGGCACTGTTTCAAATTGCTGTGGGTTGATCTTTGAGAGGACAGCGGGCTTAACATAAGTGTCGACAACGTACTCCTCCGCTATCTTTGAATGATTGTATAATATATACAAAAATAATTGTATCATATGTGCAAAAATCTGCATCAGCAACTTTCTGTGCAGAATTAACCTGCTGAATCAGAAACAAACTAATCAAGTTTTTCTTTTAAGGTTTCAAGTTTGAATCCTCTCTGGAAACCCTGATTTTTTTCTTAATAAAAAAGTTTTCTATGTTCAATAACCAAGCCTAAAATCACCACCTTTTGCAATCTTTGTACACACATAGTGCTTCAATACTGCTGGTCCCAGCATTGAGCGAAATGCAGAACACTTAGGACATATGAACCCAGAAATCATTACCATTCTCATCACATTTAATCCTTGTGGGGTTCATACATTTGTGTCACACTTGTGACAAAGGAGTAACGATATCTTATTAATTTGAATTTTTGTTCTTCGTTTTATTTTATTTTTTCCATTTTTTGTAGTCTTGCTAGGGTTTTGGTCATGATAATGCTCATATAATCTGTTTTTCATTACATTTTAAAATCAGATATAACCTATTTTAAATTTGTGATCAAAAGTTGTGTGCATGTACATGTATGTCACAAGGGTCTTCTTAATTTTTGCTTTTAGGCAAAGAGCAAGATCCAAACACTTGTGATGATTCAGGAGCACAACAAAAAGAGAAAACACTCAAAACTGTAGAGACTTTGGAAATCAACAATGGAAATGCCAGCAACTTAGATAGCCAAGGTACAGTACCACTCTATAACAAATGAGCGTCTTGATACAAAGAGAAAATTAATGTCTTGTTCACAACCCTTTCACTTCCTGGAGTGACCAACAAAGCATTTCTCCTACTGATATTGTCTTTATAATTTCAAGCAGAAAGGTGACGAGGAAAGGAAAAATATCAGTTGGGGGAAATTTTTTTTATTTGTAAAAGAAACAATCTACCCTGATTATTAAAACATTAAATTCTTATAACTAACATGAACAGTATTTGGGAAACAGTGCAGAAAATTAATATTTCATCGAGTTAAATGCTCGAAGGAAATTTGAGAACTCCATGAAGCCATCATCGGTCATCTAGGGAGCCATAGTCCATTAAGCTAAGGACATGTTGTCTACTGAATAAACGTATACGTGCACGATCCTTCGCAGTAAAGCACTATTTAAGCAATAGTGAAAATCAGACCTGAAAAAAATTCAGGCCTGTACGGGATTCGAACCACTGACCTCTGCGATACTAGTGCAGCGCTCTACCAATTGAGCTAACAAGCCAACTGGGAGCAGGCCATCAAATTAATTCGACATAAACCCGTAGATGATAAATCAAACAACAAACATATGAAATACATATATATGAACTGCGGTTATGAAACGTATATGTGCACGATCCTTCGCAGTAAAGCACTATTTAAGCAATAGTGAAAATCAGACCTGAAAAAAATTCAGGCCTGTACGGGATTCGAACCACTGACCTCTGCGATACTAGTGCAGCGCTCTACCAATTGAGCTAACAAGCCAACTGGGAGCAGGCCATCAAATTAATTCGACATAAACCCGTAGATGATAAATCAAACAACAACAAACATATGAAACATATGTGTGAACTGCGGTTATGAGACGTATATGAGCACGATCCTTCGCAGTAAAGCACTATTTGAGCAATAGTGAAAATCAGACCTGAAAAAAATTTCAGGCCTGTACGGGATTCGAACCACTGACCTCTGCGATACTAGTGCAGCGCTCTACCAATTGAGCTAACAAGCCAACTGGGAGCAGGCCATCAAATTAATTCGACATAAACCCGTAGATGATAAATCAAACAACAACAAACATATGAAACATATGTGTGAACTGCGGTTATGAGACGTATATGAGCACGATCCTTCGCAGTAAAGCACTATTTGTTGTTGTTTGTGTAACGAGAGCTCACTCGGAGATCACGTGCACCTCAGGTGACACATGAGACAGCGGTCGATGTTATCTAATCGCAAAAGGTTTTAGATAAAAATATCTACGTGAGAGCGCACGTAGTTTATAAAATAAAGACTGTTCGTTACCTAGAAATCGTGTGATTTTGGTAGAACGAAACATGGTACCAGGAGTGTAGCCTCTTCGACACGATGACAACTACACCACCTCAAGGTTCAGCGAGTGTTCAAGCGCCGACACCATGTTATGGAATACAAAGCAATTTACCAATTCCGTCNATTTTTGCTTTTAGGCAAAGAGCAAGATCCAAACACTTGTGATGATTCAGGAGCACAACAAAAAGAGAAAACACTCAAAACTCTAGGGACTTTGGAAATCAGCAATGGAAATGCCAGCAACTTAGACAGCCAAGGTACGATACCACTCTATAACAAATGAGCTTCTTGGTATAACGAGAAAATTAATGTCTTGTTCACAACCCTTTCACTTCCTGGAGTGACCAACAAAGAATTTCTCCTAATGATCAGGAAGGTAACAAGGACAGGAAAAATATCAGTTGGGGGAAATTTTTTTATTTGTAAATGAAACAATTTCCCCTGATTATTAAGACATTAAATTCTCATAACTAACATGAACAGTATTTGGGAAACAGTGCAGAAATTTAATATTTCATTGAGTTAAATGCTGGAAGGAAATTTGAGAACTCCATGAAGCCATCATCGGTCATCTAGGGAGCCATAGTCCATTAAGCTAAGGACATGTTGTCTACTGAATAAACATAGACAAACATATATATCTCTGGCTTCTATCTTAATTAATGGCTCATACACGTGTATAACCTTCTTTTTTACATAGAAAATGTGAGTTACTTGATAATGTGTCATTACTTAGTTTTCCGTTGAAACATAAACTTTGAATAGCTACATGTACGTAGAACAAGATTGTGCACTTTGTGGACAGATTCTTTGGTTTTGGTATGGGACTTGTTAATTTTTTATGGGATGAATCCCAGGGACTCACTAAGGATTTTTAAAGCCTCACTAGTATTACTTAATCACTTCCAATCAATCTTTAATGGTGTTCTTTTGAATTGTAATGGTTTTGTTAATTGATCTATTTTACATAACATATGATTTTAAATATTCCTGTCAATACAGAGAAAAGGGAGTCAATGCCGTCATCTCCCGTAGAATGTAATAGCAGCGAGTCTTCTAGTATATATTCTGATTCTGATGGTGAGAATTCTGGATCATTCAAAAAAGAATCAAAGTTGCCCTCATATGGGTCCATGCAAGGAGCAGGTGCCAGTGTAGAGCTACCTGAATGCAACATGACAAACACAGAGAAACAGAAGGTTTCCTCTCATGAAACTCTAGAGTCAGTAGCAGATGAAAAGGCAACAAATGTTGAAGGAGCCAGAGATGATTTGGTAGAATCAAACGCTTCAGAACCTGAGCTTGCCAGTGTAGAAACAACAGCCTGTCCTGAAATGTCTCAAAAAGATCCCAGTGGTGACGATGTTGCAGGATATAATAACCTGGAGAACTTGAGCTCCAAAAGAGACAACACTGGTGTACCTGCATCAATGTCACCTGGTATGTCCTTGACTCACCCAGATACTGGTGTTATCACTGATAGTAAGGTGGATAGCCACAGAAATGTTGAAAAGTCCAAAGAACAACATGTTGAAACCACAACCAATGGAAGTTTGAAAAAATGCATACTCTAGAATCAGGGAAGCTCTTTTGAAGTTCACATTGATGAAGACTGCCCAAATAATTTGTAATTATAAACACCTTATCTCAGCTTCTACAGGGCTTTCTTGCCATCCCCAAAAAATTAATAATATTACTGAACTGCTATAATGTTAATAATTGTAATCACTGTCATCTGTGGTATTATAATTGTAAATTTTTTTATCTCTGTGTCCTTCCTTCTTTTTAATGTTATTAGAAAAAGAATCAAAGTTGCCTTCGCATGAGTCTGAGCAAGGAGCAAGTGCTAGCAAAGAGCTTCCTGAAGGCCCAGTGAAAAGCACAGAGAAACAGTATGCTCCACTTGATGAAACTCCAGAGTCAGTGACAGTTGAAAAGACAAAAAATGCTGAAGGAGCCCAAGATGATTTGAAGGATTCCAGCACAACAGAACCAGAGCTTGCCAGTGTAGAAACCACAACCTGTCTTGAAGCTTCTCAAAAGGGTCCCAGTGGTGATGAAGTGGCAGAAGATAATGACCGGGAGAATTTGAGCACTGCAAAAGATGATACTGGTAGCCCTACATCAATTCCTCCTAGTAAGGAAGATACCAAGGGAAATGTTGAAAAGTCCAATGTGCATGATGTGGATACTACAACTAAAGAAGGTATGAAAAAATGCATACTCTAGAATCAGGGGGGTTCTTTAGAAGTTCGGGTTGATATGAACTAGCTGCTTATAAACATTTAGTGTAATTTCAGAGCTGAGCAAAGAGTTTCCAGCAATCTGATTGGTCGAGCGGTTCCTTATATGACGCTATATAAACCACTCCATGCGGTTTATATAAAAATGTTAAAATAAAATTTTAATAAATGTTATATGTTATGAGTTTAGAAATTTCTCTGTTGTTCAGCTCTGAAATTACTAAAACAATTGTTCAGTGAATATTGTTGAATAACCCCCTCGACTTCGTCTCATGGATTATTCGATGATATTCACCTCGCCTTCAGTGAATAATTGTTAATTATTAATTCTGAACCTCTCCATATTAATTTTAAACAATCAAGTTGAGATTACACGTCGTAAGATATTGCATTATCTTGTACAGTTTTGTGCAGTTATGTATTGTTTCCTCTGAGCTAACTCAGCCCTTTTTGTGTGACAGTGTTTTGTTTTGGTACTCACTGGCAAAGTGTAATTAGCTTATACTGTCTTTACATACATTGTATTCAAGTAGGACATTATGTAGATACCTAGGCATTCACACTTCTTCAGTGCACAAGTCATGTCAAATATAAGTTACCACTACAGCCCTATTTATACTACCTAAAATGTCTTCCACCTTTACAGATACTGGTGTTATCACTGGTGATAAGGAAGATAACAATGGAAATGTTGAAAAGTCCAAAGTGCACGATATGGAAACTACGACCAATGGAGGTATGAAAAATGCATACTCTTACTAGAACCAGGAGGGCTCTATAGAAGTTTTGGTTGATGCAAACCTCTACATAAAAAGACAAGTATGCCTCACACTATGGACGTTTACACACTGTTTTTAAGTGTCTTTCTTCCAGAGAGGTAAAACACCTAAGCTAGCAATTGAATTGAGCTTTTAGTGACGATCCAACATGCCTAACCACAGGAGCTTAGCTGACTCTTCTGGTTGGAGTTCAATCATGTAAGAGTAAGATCGCTTGAAATTTTTCAAGTGCATTATACCTGAATGTTTAAATTCTGGGGTAGTTTATATAGATGTAGACCTTCTTTGAGCTGTCCTAAGCAGCTTTGTAGATCTGAAGCTGTTTAAAAGTGTTTCCTACCCCGACCTACCCTCTTTGTTTTTTCCCTCCACTGATCTGATCAGTGTTGGCAGATGAACAGGGGCTCATTGCTTGGGTTGCTGAGATTTTTCTTCCATGAGGGATATTGTGTTATGCTATCTGAAGCTGGGATAGGGTGAACTATCCTTTCTCTTAAGCAAGGTTGTGGGTTAACCCCATCACTCCCAAGGTCTCATTAATAATTCTTCTTACTGTCTGTATAGCAATTTGTTTGACATTAGTTCAGATAATTTGTTATTAGATCAACTACGGTAAAAGCATGGAGATAAGCCACACCCGCATATAAGCTGCATCCTGAATTTAGAAAATCAAATTTTGGAAAAAAAAATGTTTTTTTGATAGAAATCAAAAGAAATCCAAAGTTGAGTCTTAAAAAGTTTTCTTCATTCACTGTTCATTGAACGTAAACTCGATATCAATATTGCAACGGAAACTACTTCAAAGTCTTACCCACAATTTTAGCACTTTAATATAATAACAAACATCGTTTCTACCAACTTTGACATATGATTGGTCTTTTAATTTTCTGGTATAATTTTGTTGACAGGAGTTTCTTCATTCAACACAGTTTTTCTATAGAATTTTGCATTACAACAAGAACATGAGTGGAACATACAAAGCTTAGTAACCAGGCATTAGATCCAACGCATCAACAGAAATTGGCATCGACGTTCGCGACACCTTTTTCAAATGTTCCCACAGATAAGCCGCACACCCCTTTTTTTGGAAAAAAGTGCAGCTTATATGCAGGCTTTTACTCCTTATTGAAATTTTCCATATTCTCATCACTGGACTATTTGATATTGTATCAATATTATAAGGGGAAAATGTGTCTTGATCAATTGTGGGGATTAAAGGGTTAACTTGAGGATACCTATACTGATGTAACTGATTGTCTAATAATATATTACTCTGTACATGTACTCAGAATTTTTGTGAAAAAATTTGTTACAATGTCCATTAGATTTTTCAAAATTTCTGAATTTCCAGTAGCAGAAAAATCAGAAGTCACCAATGGAGAGAAGAGTACAAGCACATCAGGTATTAAAACTACATGCACATTAGCAATTATCTTTTAGATATCAAATTATCAATTATACTTACTAAGTGACTTTTTATCCTGCAATGTGTTTCTAGCTCTGATGAGAATGTTCTTTTGATCTGAATAGCAAAGAAGTGTGTTCATCCATTTTAAGTCAGTCTCCTTGGAAGAGAGATAACAAGAGATCCTACACTCATTGATTTATAACTTATGAAATGTCTCTCTCCAAATTTTATTTTGCAGAAACAGACCCACATGGTACAATATCTGCCATGAAAAATCCAGATGAAAAAAGAATACTTCCTCCTGAAAAGGAAAACTCCAATGGATCATCTCCTATTGGAAGTGTTCATATCACTGAGAAAAAGGTAGAATTGAATAGTTGTGATGGAGATAAAAGCCCCGAAGCATTCATCCAATCTCAAGTTGGAGAAACAACCACAGAAGGAACATCTTCCACAAGCAACTCTAGAGACAATGGAATGGTTCCAACTGAAACTGGAAACTTAAAGACAGAACTAACAGTTAGTGAAGATTCTGCTGAGTCCTGTCCTGTAGACAGTACAGGTGAATCTGTGTCTTGTGATGACAAAGGCATTGTTCCAGAGGAAGAGGAAAGTACCAGAAGAGGGTCTTATGAGTGCAACCTTGCATCAGGTTTTCTCTCTACAGATCCTGGGGAATCTGAGTCCACCGGAGAGGATTTCATCAAAAGGACATTGGGGCAATTATTTCGAGCAGTGGCTTCAGGGGAGGGTAGAGCCATTCTACTTGGCACCTCAACAGAAAGTGAAGAAGAAGAAGAAGACGAAGAAGAAGGAAGTCAGTGGCCATACAGAAAGGCAGGCTATTCTGTAGTGATCAATAAAGGCAAACTCTGTGCAAGTAGCTCTGAAGAGAGAGCTGAGGTCATAATGAAGAGTGGAACAGAGTTTTTCATATTAATTGGAAATGATAATGATCGTGGTAAGTAAACAATTGGAAAACTTTTTTACATAATCCACCATGGGCACCTCCTCTAGAAGGTCCCCTGTCAAATGGGAGCCTCCTAGCATTCCCTGATTTTCATGGATGAGTACCTTTATGTAACAAAAGATGTGAATATTAATTTTGTTTATCACCCTCACTCAGCCTGGCAATAATTATTGATTCTGAGTGCATTGTTACAGCTCAAGAAACCAATTTCTCCTTTTTCAAGGTGCATCTAACAATTTCTATATCCATGTATTATAGGATGTGTATTTGTCGTCAGTTTGTTAACACATTAAGTTAAGAGGTAAAATAACCACCCTTAACAACTGTGCTTCTGTAGAAATCTCAAGATCATCTTTGTGTAATAAATATATACACTAGGTGTAGTGTTGTGCATCAACAGAAAAAAAAAAAATCACACCAGGTCACATTTTAAGGCGAAATTGATTCATTTAGTTTTGGCTGGCATCATGTCAAAAAGTATTCTTAGGCAGTTTCATATAATTATTTTCAAACCCTAATTTAAGATTAAAAAATTTGCGAAGCTTAATATGATTTTTCAATTTTTCTTTCTTAACTTCAGCTGCTGAGGTGGACATCACATTCGGTGGAGTATACCTTGGTGTTTGGTTGGTGGAGGCAAAGCGGTCAATAAACAGACCTCTGTTTGTTCAAGGCTCTTCTTGGACAGCAGGCCGTTTAAGATTCTTCAGTAATTCTGATAAGAGGAAACCACAGCCTCGTGCTGATATCTATGGTGAGAAAGCAATGCTAAATGGTTTGATTGAGCTGACATTCAAGCCAGAAGCTGATACCGTGAAATTGTTTGTGCACCATGTGCGAGAACAAGGAAGTTATCGTCTTATTCCTGTAACAGTGACTGATCCCATGACAGCAACTGTTGCTGACTTAAAACAAGACATCAAAGGAAGATGGAGATCCAATATCTCCTGCCTCTTGAAAGGAAGCCAGGTTTTACAAGAAGAAGAAATGATCAGGTGCAGTCTTTTATCTTAGGAAGTATTTGCCCAGAGATCAACCCTTTAAATCCCATGAGTGACCAAATCAGAATTTCTCCTTACAACATCAATACAATATTAAGCAGACAAGTGATAAGAATAAAGAAAAAAGTATTAATCAGGGGATTTTTAGTTGATTAAATACCAAATTCTCCAAATTAGGAATTGTAAGGCAGACAGTAAAGAGAACTATGAAATGAAATGACATCTGGGAGTGAAATGGTTAATCTTGCATACAAGTCATGTCTTTAAATTAATAATTATTATTGACATGGTGTCCCTTGGACCTGTTTAAGTTTATCTTGGCCAAGATTTTAACCGGTTTATCCTAGTGAAACACATGCCCCTAAGGAAAGTTATTTCTGATATCTCTTATTATACATGACTGTTCCACATCATGCTGTGTTGTTTCCCAAAGCATTGTTTTATAGCCATTGGCAGGAAACTTACAGGTTATAAATTATTACAATCACAATTATAATATTACTAAAACTTAGCTTGGTTTGTTTCTGAAGCTCCTATGACTTGGGTGAAAATGAAGTGATTGAGGTTGTCAATGCCACAGAGGAACTGACTATTGAAGCATTTGGTGAAGACCCCATCACTCTGACGGTGGATCCCAATGATATTTCTGTGGAAGCTGTTAAAGAGTTCATTACAGAACAATTCAAAATACCAGCAGACCAACAGCTTCTTAATTTCAAAGAACCGGATGATGTTGTGGACTCCAAGTCATTCACCCATATGCTCTTGACATCAAGGAAGACACCAGTACTGGTTGTCAGAAGAGAAGAACCTGTAGATGCAAATGCAAGTCAAAATAGGAGCATTAATATTGGGTAAATCACAGTTTTTGTCATATTAATCAACGATTGAGACATTCCATGGGCCACCTCTCTGCAACAGCAGTTGCTGGCAAAATGCCTCCAAATACTAAAATAAGCCCTTTGTGATAATGGTTGATCACCTACCTGACAATAGGTGTTTTTATCTTATGTAATTCTTTTTTGACATACAAGCATTGTCAAAGTTGTTAGAACATAAGATATCTTACCTTCATAATTCACTTTTCTTGCAATACGTGCAAAAACCCACCAAACCAGCAAAACCAAGGCAAATTTAAATGACAAGGCAATAACATTTAGTCTTTGTGTGATCATTAGTTGTTGTTTGGTTGTATTTTAACTATCCTGATTGTAAAAATTGTTTGTCTGTTGTTTGCTGATTGAATTGCTCCATATGTTCCTTGCTGCTTACAACCAAAAAGAGCCGAAGATGCCAGAGGATTGGACACCAGTGCAACATCTTGTGCAGGTAGTCATTAACAGTTAACAATTATTCCGCAAAGTAGAGGTAAATGGTAGTAGATATTTATCAAAAAGCAAAGACCAGAGGCAAATATCCTCCACTTTTATTGAAACTGAGGCCAATTCCATGTTGTGGCATATATACAAATTATTGTTTTTTTTGATAATGTTGTGGGTGCACTTAAAAGTTTTTGTTTTGAGAGCACTTGTTCAGTCCTTGCTCAAAAATATTAATTTTACAGCAGAAACTTCTCAGGTAAAGCCTGGGAACTTAAATTTAAGATGAGAAAATTTGTATTAGCAGACATTTAAAATATGAAAGCAAGAAGAAACAATAAATTATGATATGCAAAGTGTAGGTCACTAGAAACACAAGTGCCATTATCACTGAAGAAAAGTTAACTCCAAGCAAAGTGGAGTTGACTTAATCTGACTCTTAAGAATGACATTTGAAACTTTCAGATGTCCTCCTGTCTGTAACCTCTATTAGTGGTCCTTCTGCTTAATTATCATTAAATATCATTTATTAAATCTCAGTCGGGTGGTGTATTAACTCAGCCATTCAGACAAGTGATTTGAGTCAAAGAAAGTGTTCTCTGTCTATGCCTACTTCTCTTTATAAGTTGGTTACCTACTCAATGTCTCTGATACCCAGCATACTCTTTTCAATACATATATCTTATTAACCGAGTGAGAGGGCCGTACTGGGAGAATATTGGCCCGAGATCTTGACAGTACGGACCAAATGCAGCGAGGTCCGTACAAAAAAGACCGAGGGCCGGCATTCTTCCAGTACGGTCCCAAGCAAGCTTGATTGATAAGAGATTTATTATACGACTGAAGTTCAAAGGGATACAAGTGCGGTATCATTCTGGACCATGCGGGACAGTGCCCGGTCCAATACTTAGAGAATATTGACCAGCAAAAGAGCATTTTGATTGGTTGATTTTAGCTATTGGCCCTCTGACTGCCTGAGTCGTGTAATAAAGTTGTTAATTTACCCTCCTTATTTCATTCACATTATCATAATTAGATCAAGGAAGCCAAGCTGAAGACAGCTGTAAAGCAAATGAGGGACCTAATGACTCAGGAGACAATGACCAGGTAGCTGCTATGTGTGATTGTGTGTATTGAGTCAACTCTTACAATTTATCAAAAGACCCTGGGATTGTATTGATTGATATCAGTATCTTCCCTTGAGAGAGTTATTACATTATCGTCTCAAGTTTACAAAACATATTAGCTAATATGGGTTTTTATCATGCATGGAAAGAAAGAGTCATCTTAAACAGTGATATATACTTTTCATATATTTACACAGGATGGTGTTGCTATGCTTTATGGAGATAAAGAAAGTGTATACAACCAATTTCAAGAAGATACAATGGACCGAAAATTTTCAAAGAAGAGGGCTGTCACACTTTATATTCAGCTTAAGGCTAAGAGGTAATTTGCAACTAGAGGACTTTTAATTCTGATATGTTTATATGTGGACTGTACAGCTTTTCAAATGATTCCAGGACTGCAAATGATAAAAATGGAGAAAAGCATATTTAAAAATCTAGGATATGGTGTTCAATTTGTTTTTGAGGATCTGCAAACAGTTATAATTCATTGCAAATCCGAAGTTAAACCATAAATTAATGAAATGATAGAAAGATCAAAGGTTTAAGATGAATTGATAAATGAAAAAAAGTTATTTAAGGAATACATAAACAATTATGTAAAATGAAAGATAGCTAAGATTATAAGTAAGACTGATTCTTCTTTTTTATTAATTACAGTAAGAATGCTGCAACTGCTGAAGCCTCAGGGAAGCCCAAGCCCAAGCCCAGGCCCAAGCCCTTTGAGCAATCAGGGGCCAGGCCATCAAGACCTAAAGGATGCACGTCTTCTCTTTACCCACCTGAAACACCCGACTGAAATTATACTATGCTGCTGTACTTTCATGTAACCCTTCCCTTCTGGAATTAATTGGCATTTAGCTCCCCATCATATCAATGCATAATTCAGCAAACAAACAAGTAGTGAGAATAATTATATTTAAGCAGTAGAACACATTTTTCTGCACTCTATAACATAATAAAGCCATGCACGATATTGGGAGAACTCAAGGAAAGTTTATAAAGGATAAGCTGAAGGCAAGGGAGTTATAAGCCTTCTGAACTGACTGATCAGACCATGTGTACTATGTCCATTTTGGTATAAACCTCTATAGAATTGCAGATTCTTTTAACCTTTTCAATCCCATCAGTGGCCAAGACAGAATTTCTCCTAAAAATATCAATATTACAATATCAAGCAGACATGAGATGAGATTAAAGAAAATTTTCAATTAGGATTGTTAGTTGATTAAATACCAAATTCTCAGAACCAGCATCATCAGAAATGTATGGTGGACAGTAAGAAGAATTTCTAATCAGATCTTGAGTGAAAGGGTTAATTACTTTACAAGGAAATTTACGGGAGTTCAAGTGAGAAGTGTCAAACAAGTTGGGAGTTAAAGTGTGAAGTGCTCTTATTTGAAACAATGTGACCACTAGTATGATAATTGTTAGGAATGGAATGCTGTAAATCAAAAGATTTAATTTTAAACATATGGTGATATAATCATTTATTACACGACTCGGGCAGTCAGAGGGCCAATAACTAAAATCAACCAATCAAAATGCTCTATTTGCTGTCCAATATTCTCTAAGTATTGGACTGGACACCGTCCCGAATGATACCGCACTTGTGTCCCTTTGAACTTCAGTCGTATAATAAATCTCTTATTAGCCAAGCTTGCTCGGGACCGTAATGGAAGAATATCGGCCCTCAGTCTTTTTTGTACAGACCTCGCTGCGCTCGGTCTGCACTGTCAAGACCTCGGGCCGATATTCTCCCAGTACGGCCCTCGCGCTTGGTTAATAAGATATATGTATTAAACTTGATTTCATAATTTCTAAGAACTTCAGTTGGCTGAGAGATAAAACACTCACAACTTAATTGTGTTAGTCTTTGACATCCTAACATCAGTATGCATATTCTCCATACTGTTCTCTATACATTTCCTAAGATGCTGACAAGGAGAATTTGTGTAACAAACAGGAGGAGCTTTAGTTGGTGATCATTTCCTTCATTCTTGTGACCTTAATGTGTGATTCAGGGGTGATATTGAAAAAGGGGAATTAGATGCTAGTCACCCGTAACGGTTTAAGGGTTAATGCAGGGTGCCCTAGTTTATATAATAATAATTAAAAAGGTAGTTTAGGGAGTTCGCAGTTTTCCTACGCCCCAAAAGGATTAAAATATCACACCTTGGTTTGTCGCGAGACCGCTTAAAAATTCACACTCTCTACCACCAAAACGTTGTAGCATAGTCCCCCTCCCCCTACCCCTCAGTCTTCGCTGACGGGAGGGTTCTCTGTCGGTCAGCGGTGGACCATCGGTCCTGAAAGGGGAAGTCTACCATTCGGATACTCGTAAAGGACTCCGACTTTTTCTCTTTCTTACTCCTTCAGATTGTAACTTACAATAAAGTACAGAGTTATGGGAGGGAAAGCTATGTCCTTGACAACCATCGTTATCAATTAAAGTGCCCATAATGTCAAAAAATGTTTTTCGCTCATCTAATTCTACATTTCACCAATTGAACTCCTGCAAAAAAAATTTTCGATTTGGATAAAACGAAATTTTTTTATAATTTTTTAGACATTCAAACTTGCCGCCATTTTGGTCCACCATTCGCACCAGTCTTCCTCGGTTTAAAGTGAGTCGTGACGTAGGTTCAGGAACACGTGATTTTGGGTTGTGACTTATCTGACTTGAAAACAAGTGGGAATTTGCTTCAGAGTGGTCACAATATCGTCAGCTCACAATATCGTAAACGACCCGCACTCGACCAGTGTATATGCAATTAAGGTCAAGTGAGGTTCCTGAACCTACGTCAGACATCAGTCACGTGGTCATTTTGAGCACGTTATTCTTGTGATCAGCGGCAGGGGACGACCGCAAGAAAATAGAATTTTGAACTTTGTAAAAATTCGTAAAAAAATCGCGTCTTATCCAAATCGAAAAAATTTTTCACCGAAGTTCATTTGGTGAAATGTAGAATTAGATGAGCGAAAAACGTTTTTTGACATTATGGGCACTTTAAGACCGAACGCACATGCCCCAGAAAACAGACCAGATGGTGACCGTAGCTACACTTTTTGCTATTCCAAACCCCTTAAGGTGTGACTCCAAATTGCCAAACTGCGAGAGTAAGTTTCTAGTTCGTCATCGTACTCCTTTCTTGTGGCGAAAATACAGATCCGTGTCATCGGTCATGGACTATGCTGTCTTGCTGACTCTGCAGTCGTGTGGTGCCATGCAGCCAGCTATTCTCGGCTTAAAGTGTTTCACATCAGCTTTGTTTTACATATATTTTCCTGCGCAACATCTCAACTTTTACTTGACTCTCAGAAACCTTATTTATTAGCGGGTTATGAATCTACATACTTCTCAGAACGAAACGATCAAAGGCATGCATTTAATCATTTCCTTTTTGATAGGCCATTTGTGAGTGTATATTTTATCTACATTTATGAAGACACAAATCAGAACGGTGCAAATCGAATTCTCCTTTCCTTGAACAAGTAGGAGTCTACTGGTTAAAAGAATGTGTTCAGTGCACTTAATGGGTCATAGTTTGCCATTTGTGCCATTTATATTTAAAAACTAAAGAGTTCTTTACCCTTCGCTAGGAGTTTTCATGGAAAAACCAATGCCGAGTTCTAATGGGCTACGTAAGTTACAGTGAAAATTTACAAGTTAGTTCACTGCTATAAACAGCGAGCGCAGTCGCCTTTTAGCTACTTCTTCGTGACAATAAAATAGCCCACTTGAAAAATTCTCACCTTTCAGTTTTGCCGAATGATTTCACTGTTCGCTTGGCATTTGGTTCACACAGATTCAAAATGAATTTAGTCCAGCGATCTACTCGCCCACATATAGCAGAAAAAAAATTATCTGAACTCACAAGTCCTTTCCATTCGTCTTTGGTTAATGTTAAAGTTTGTATACTCAACTCGTGCTCTCGAGAAGTCTATTTAATAGTCACATTTTGTGAAAGTTAAGTAGTAGTGTGCGGTTAGAAGAGCGCAGGTGCAAAATGAGCTTTGAATTGAACTCTTAGATGAATAAAGTCGAAAAGTTTTCAGTCCAAGCTCACACTTCAGACGTGCCACTGGCTTGTAGATTAAGCCTTGCGTCTGACCGGGCGGAGCCTCGATCCCTTCCGTCCCTAGATTCTGCATCGGCTGGCTCAACGAATCTCAATTTCTGCTTCTGGGGTCTCGATTCACTGTCCCCGCTAGCTACGCTTGCGTTGTCGTCATCCGAGTCGAGATCGTCTTCCGACTGATCGTCCTCGTCGTCATCCGAAGATTTACCCGATTGGTCGTCCTCGTTCTGCGAGGCTTCCTCTTCTAGTCTCTTTTCTTCGCGGTAGTAAATAAGCTTCCTCAAAAGCTCGCTTTCATCGTGCTTTGCCATTAAATCATCAAGAACGGGAATGCTATCACAAATGTCGTTCTCCGTAAAGTCTTCGTCTGTTTCCAAAACCAGCATCATCACAATTTGTTTCTTCTTGTTTGTATTTTCGGGTTCAAACCAGTTGGTTTGCCTAATGTCCTCCATGCAGATGTTTCTCAAAGCGTACTGAACATTCTCTGAGATTTCCTCGATGCTGTCCAAGTTCAGCTCAAACTGGTTCTTTGGCTCTTTGTAGTTGGGTTTAATTGCAGGGCCAACCTGTTTACCAACGGTACGCTTGAAGGTATGCAACATGAAGTCGAGAATTTCATGTTCGTTGGACTGTATGGACGAATCGTTGGACACTTCGCTCAGTGCGTCATTCAAGATGCCAATGAACACGTTCATGAGAACAAATAACACTATAACCACGTACGAGAAAAAGAACATGGGACCAAGAATTCGGCTTGAGCTGGTCAAGGAATCAAAGTCAAAACTTCCAAGGGTCAAGGACATCATGCTTCCCAAAGTTCTTGGGAATGACGCATAGTCCTCATTATTGATTCCAAACACCACAAACGCAAACTGCGCGAAAGCCAGGAACAGAATAAAGAATAGCAACATAAACGACGACAGAGGTTTGCTAGCTAGTTTGATGGTTATCATAAGAGTGGAAACGCGCCGATTGAATTTCAGCAGACGGAGGAATTTTAATACAGAGAAAAACACTGCCATGGCTGTTGTAGCGGACACCCATTCATCCACAAACGCCACGTACTGGAAGCTAACAAACTTGTTTGGTTCGTCTTGCATACTGCGAAGACTGTATTTGGTGAGGGCTAAACGCGCGAAATACAGCCCCACTGCCGACAGGGAAAACCCCAGAACTAACAGCTCTGAATAGTTCCAAGGGTCTTTAAAATACTCTCGTCGCTCACTCCTGTATTTCTTGACCTGCTTGTAGAGGAAGTAAAGCAGAAACGCCATGTAGCCTAATTCGCAGGCCATTACAAACACCATTTCTGGTCCTACATAGCGGTAGAGTCGGATGGTTTGAATTCTAGGGCTCAAGTAGTATCCCCCAGATGGAAGAATCTCAGAGAGCAGGGTAATTACACAGAAGAAGTTCGTCTGAGCATTGTAAATCGCGAATTCTGCAAAGATTGCCCTGGTGTGTCGGTCTATCCAGTTCAAGGAGGAGAGTTTTTTAGCTATCTCTTCGGCTTCATCCCGCTTGGCTCCAAAGTCTGCCACGTAACCTGAAAGATAGTTTCATTGATAACATAACTTGCACTTCTGGCATTTATTTTATCTCTTCACAAAGGCCTATCCTTCACTACATTTCTCTTGTGCCCGCACTTTAAAAATTACCGAAATGTTTAGTGTGTTTTTTTTTTTCATTGTCAAATGTATGAAAATTTTCGTATTGTTTCCTTCAACCGGCAAAAGATGACACGGTAATGTGTCCTAAAGGTAATATATGCAAGTTGTGTTGCCGGGGTCTTTTTTACGGTCTATTCTTTACCATGAATTGTTGGCTGTTGTATCAAAAATTACTCTCTTGTTGCCACAGTTCTGATTTAAAACTCTGTTTCTCATTCTTTACTGTGAAACGGTGTTAACCATCGCTTATTAGATAATGTTGATTAAGGAGAGTCTTTGTAAACTTATTATCATGTAAAACTACACATTTTCAATGGAGAAAGACAAAGAGCAGATTTAAACCATTGCGTCTCTCTGACTTCCTGCTCTTTATGTAACTTCAATTTCATTTGTTTCTGCGGGGAACAGTAGTCCAATTAGGTGTATACAGCTGTTTGCAGAAAGTTTGTCGTAAAAACGACAAAGTGCACGCGACAATCTCGAAAGTCAATCTGGGTACCCGGTGATCAATGAATTTTACTAAGTATAACAAATAAATACGGAGAACATGGCATAAATACCGACATGTACGTGAAAACGAAAGGATCAAAACAAAAGAATACGCTCTTGTTGAGTTAACATCGCATTTGCCATTTATAAGGATCAACTCGTTCTTTTAGTCGTTTTTTCATTAAGTTAAAATTAAAATACAGTCTTGCGAACAAAGTAAATTCATCAAACCCTCTATGCTATTTCCTTACAGTGTTGTTTTTTCAGGCTCGATCTCCGCCGCTCTCTCGATTCCGGAGCGCGGGCGCCGGTTCCTGAACAGCTGCTAGTGATCGAGCCTATGTTTTCTCAGATTTCCCTGAAATCCTAAGGTCAAGAAACCACGAGCTGAAAACTACCCAAAATGCTCTTCGGCGTTATCGCGTGCACATCTGCTTTTACCGACGACCTTTCTGCAAACAGCTATATGCGTTTTAGCCTTGCCATATCGACAGTAAATGACTCACCTCCTCCCAGGTAAGTAGCAAATTGCCCCCAGTAAGGAGTTCCTTTTAGTTTCCACTGCGTCTGATAGGTCCATGGGGTCGGGTCCATTTCTTCAGTGCTTGTATTGGATGGCATTGGCACCCAGCCCTCCTCGTAATATTCTTTATCTTCATAATCCCAATCATAGGCCAAGTTACATTCATCGAACAGCGCGTTAAATGTCGGGAGTAATTTGCATTTGTCTGAAGCAAACATGCGAACTCGGTAAGAAAATGGAAAAGAAATGACACGAACAATGAATCAGAGAGTCAGCCAGTCGTCCGCTACTTCGTCCATTGGTCAGTTAGTCAATGAGTCAGTCAGTTCGTCACCTTGCCTATCAGTCAACTGGTCACTTAGTGAGCCAGTTGATCAGCTGGGCAATCAGCTAGCAGTCAATCAGTAAGTCATTTAGTCTGTCAGTCAGTGAGTCCATCAGTTCATCCAGCTGTCTCCGCCTGTCATTTAGTCAGTCAGTTATTTTGCAGGTCTTTCAGTCGGTCAGTCAGCGGTCAGTCGGTCGGTCGGTCGGTCGGTCGGTTGGTCGGTTGGTCGGTCGGTCGGTCGGTTGGTCGGTCAGTCGGTCGGAGGGTCAGTCAGTCAGTCAGTCGCTCAATCTGTTGGTCAGTTGCTTGGTCAGTCACTGGGTCTGGTGGTCGGTCATTAAGTCAGTCATTGAATCTGTTGGTTCGTCAGCCAGTCAGTCAGTCGATCTATCGTCAGTCCAACCCCTCAACCATTCTTGTAAGTCGATCTGTTCGCACTGCGTACAGAGCGCAGTTCATTCACTCGAGTGAGTGCGCAGTTTACTCCACTCGTTATACTGATGTTTAATTTGTCATTAATCTCTGGAAACTGAAAGTGACTTACTTTTCTGTATCCTGAGTTGGCGAAGTCTGGGCGTTCCTATAAGATACGCCGTGCTATGATCAGCGACAAACTTGCCCTCGTAGCTAAACAACACTGAGGACGAACCAACATCGTATTTGCTGCCAGTTGTTGTCGTCATCACAACCTTTTTATGTTTTGTTCTTTTTGTGTCACTGTTGGTAGCCTCTTCATTCGTAATGTCTTTTTCTTCAATGGCAATGGGGCCATACCAGAACCGTGGCGTAAGAGTAGGGATGAGCGTTTGCTGAGCCCATTCCCAGTAGGAGCGATAATCTGATATCTGGTGTGGAATGAGAGGATGTTAGAGACCAGAAATTATTTATCACCTGTGCGGGGAGGAGGAAAGGATTTTGAGGGTATCACGTGGTTTTCAGGGGGAACGGAGGGGGATCATAAAGGGGGGACTATGGAAAATTGACTGTCAATAAAGGGGGGAATGGTAAGAATATTACTGAGCCTCATGGGGGAGGGGGGGGCTTCCCCCTTGTGGTAAATAATAACCAGTCCTTTACTTCTTATGTTGACCTCCTGAACTGTTTAACTCTTTATATCCTAAAATGCATCTTCATGCATATTCTCCACACTATTCTCTCTACATTTCCTAAAGTGCTGACAAGGAGGATCTGGTTAATAATCAAGAGCTTCTTTAGGTGGTGGTCGCTTCCTTTATTCTGGTGAGCTTAGTGTTTAGCGCGGGGGTGATATTGTAATGTGAGATTAGCTGCTGGTAACTCTTAAGGTTCAAAGGTTTAAAGTTCAACCTCGGAAGTGCTAACTGGGGATCTATTGATTGCTACCCGTTTATCAATGTCTGTTTCAGTTGTGCCAATTACATGGTGGATGAGAGGGGTTCAGAGCCAAATGAATTACACAGTACCCAAAGCAGAAGATCCACAGTATGTGTGGTCGAACATGAAGATTCCTTGCGCATCCTTGTTCTTAACTAAGTTGTTTATTCAAAATACGACTGAAGATACAGTCTTAACCATGCTGCAAAACTGGATTTAAAATAGAAGGAGAACTTATATAACATATAGAGTTAACTCTTCTTTGAATAAAAAAAAAACATAAAAACTTCCATTATTACTGGTGCAATCCTAAACGTGTTTGCCTGTATTGAGCTTATGACAAGCCTGCACAGGATTAACGTTGATTCAATTCTGAACGTAATGAGGTGAGCAGTTTTCAATTCTGTTTGGATAGTAATCAAGTGTTGTTTTGCCTTACTTCGCCTCGTGATTGGTCTAGAAAACTTGCATCATTTTCTCAACCAATCAGATTTAAAATTAAGACAAATCGCGACTTGGTTACCCGCGTTTTCCTGCGCATGCATCAGGCAGTTCGCCCGTTTTTATTTTGAATTTTCATTGGCGGCTCTTGAAATTTTTCTTTAGTCTGATCGGCCATTGTGATAACTTCGGTTTCGGTTTTATGACACTTAATCTAAAAGACCTCTTACAGAACAGATGTAAAACTGTATGAGGAAACAAAAAAAGAAACATGACAACAAACCATCAAGTTGTTAACGTATAGCAACTCAAAACGAGTGAAAACTAGGCAAAAAAGTAAAAATAGTTTTTACCTCGTCAAATGCATCAAGCCCTGAGTATTTCCCTTCCTCAAACATGTCCCTCATAGCACTTGTCACTTGATAGCCCATCGGGTCTCGACTACCATAAGCCACAACAAGCAACACGCTCAGGAAAACGAAGTATTGAACAATCTCACGTATGATCACCTTCATGGCTTTTTGCTTGACCTTCAGTCGACGTGCGTACTCAAGTTTTTCTTCATTGGGTGGTTTATCGACGAAGCCAATCTTTCGCAGAGTTTTCTCCTCCTCGCTGTTCTGTGATTTGGTATGAATCGCTTCTTCGTCTGCGTTTAGTTCATTAGCTTCTTGTTCATTTTCTTCTTCTGCCTTGTTCGGATCTTTGATCACTACTGCAAAGAACATAGCAGCTGCGAACACCTGAAATGAATAAAAACAGAATGGGAGAAAGAGCACTTTTACTTTATTGCCAAAAACTTTCCGTTTACCACAAATCGATTGCTTTCTTTCTTTCATTGCTTCACGCGCTCTTTACTTTGCATAACTCAAAAGGACCGCCACTTCCGCGACCAAGTGCGATTCATTCAGTCAGAGCAATTTTAAATTTAGAGTCGAAAGTAATCCAGGAATGCTTCGGTTTTACTTTACCTCGCTCTGTGATTGGTCCGAGAAACTCGTGTCACTTTCTCAACCAATCAGATGTAAAACTTAAACCAATCATGACTTGGTCGCAAACGTTTTCCCGTGCTTTAGGAAGTTTGGTTGCTTTTATTTTGAGTTCTCATTGGCTCTCAAAGGTATTTTCATTTCTTCTGATTGGCGGTTTTGGTTTCACGATACCCAATCAGAAAATGCTAAATGTGTCAGCAATTTGCACTAGTTCATTGTTTATGTACTTTTAATTCGATTTTCCCTTTCAATTGTATTAGTCCTGGCTACATCATAGAGGCAAAATGAATGCTGTATTAAGCCGATTACACTTAGCATTACATAACTAATGATATACAGGGGAAAATTACGCACGTCTGATTGGCTGAAAACGAGTGCATCTTTCATGTAACACGAGTGTAAAGTTGCAACACGAGTGGAAATTACAACAAATAACGTACGGTCCAGCGGTCCAGAAGGAATAGCAGCTTACCTTAAGAGGCTGTGAAATGAGTACGTCTTGCCAAAACGAAATCATCATCGACGACAACCAGCCAGCGGATTTTTCTTTTCCAAATGTCAGCCCGTAAAACACAGTAAAAGTGGCTGAGACTGTACAAGAGATGAAAACCAAAACGTAGGAGATATAGACAAAAAAATGTGGAAGAGTCTTTTTCTTTTTCTTTTTGTTTTCCTTTTTCTTTTCGTCGTCCTCTTTTTCAGCGGCTTCCGGTTCTTTGCTGATTTGGTTTGTTTTCTCGCCGGATATTTCATATTTTGGGCTTTGGCCGTTCGGATCCTGGTCTTTGTCCAGGCCTTTCTTTGCTTCTGCTGGCCGCGCTTTTCGGAAAAATGTCACAATCAAGACATTGACCGGAAGTACGACCAAGCTGCTGGTAATCCCGATGGACAGTTGCTTTATGGAGAAACTAAAAGGCCCGATGTGAACAGATGTGCCACTTGAAGACTCGGTTCCCACTTGATAAAACATTGCGTTAGCAAGCATAGTGCAAAGTAAGATTGATAAGCAACAAGAGAGACGCTGTACTCGGGTGAAATTACTTTTCGCCGGGCGTGTGATGACGGAGAACCACAGATGGCCATCTGTAAAGTTCTTCCGAGCTTCAGTGGAGAAGAGCAGATTGAAGCTGGTTAGCTCTTCTTTACTGGCTGGGGTCAGTACGCGCTCAACGCATCCATCATCTTCCTCCACGGCTAGCCATCGATCGCAAATAAACCAAGTCTTGATATCACTTTGAACATCATGTACCATGATTCTGAGGAGGTACCAGGACGGATCGTTGCCAGTGTTGTCTTGCCAAATTCTCAAAGTCTTCAGCTTTCCCAAGCAACGAGGCACGCTCAACAAAAAGTAATCGACATTTCCGCGGCAAAACTTTCTTCGACCGGGCTCCGCGTCTTTCAAGCGACGAGGAGAGGTTTCGTCTAGACCACCAGTTAGCACAATACGAATCTCAGATGATGTTCCCGCATGACTGGAATATCCCGTGTATACTACCACCTCGTACATGTAGGTGTCTCGTGGGTCGTTGTCTGGTAGAGGAGCGACTCCAACCTGCGAAAATTAAAGAACGCACACGCACAAAAAAAAACAATAATTAGCAGTGAGGTAAGGAAAATGGCCAATTGTTTTCCCTTTGGCCCACTGGCGCCTATTTGTCCTAGGCCATGTTTAATGAAGATACGTAAACGAGTTAAGGGTGCTCTACTTTCTACTTGTATACAGTTATCATAATGATTATAAACAAAATGAGCTGAACTTTCTGTATTTCTTTCTTTTCTTCACGAATCAATGAATTTACGTATTTCCCAACTTATCAAGAACGATAATTGTGAATTATATATTTACGCAGGACGAACGATGAAATAAAAGAAATCCGTGAGGAACAGGAAACGAAATTGAAACGAGAAGTTTAAAAAAAACACCGTTCTCAACCTTGACAATTACCACTAAACAAGTCTTTAACCCTTTGAACTCTGAGAGTGAATGAAGAAAATGACCACCAATATAAGAATTCTTAACAAATTCTCCCTGTTAGTATCTTAGAAAATGTATAGAGATCAGTATGGAGATAATGCATACTAATGTTAGGGTGTAAAGGGCAAGCTCAGCATGGCCTTAATATACAGTACTGTACTCTACGTTCTATCTTTCTTTTTAAAATCTCAGAACAAAATGTAGTAGTATTAAGCAATAGAACACTAAAAAACGTAAAGTGATTACAGCGTGGTACCTTTTCCAAGTCTTTTCTGTCCGCTCGTCTGGCCCATAAGACCAGAAGAAAATACAGACCGAAAATGCCACACACCACTGAGAATACCAAAGGGTTGTTGAACAGCTCTTCTAAAGACACTTTATCCCAGTCGATCTTGTTAGGTGGCACGAAAAAGTCACTCGCGAAGGACGTCAGATGATTGCAACGACAGTGACGTTCGGTTGGAGTCGTTTGCGGACCAGCCTGAGAGAGACAAAGTACTCACATGATGTCAAATAAACGTGGCACTTGTTATTCAAGAAAAATATCTAATTACAGCGTGAGGTCGATAAAAATCTCTTTTTGGACTCTACTCTCGCTACAATTTCTCTTATTGAGGTTAATGTAATGATTCATTTAATGTCGAAAACGTGGGAAGGTGCTTGTGCAATCGTCCGAGCCAGAGGCTCATGTTAAAAAACGCTCGACAAACTAAGAAATACGAGAATTATCCATCTACAAGTATTAAGCGAAACTTGAGAACATCTGAATTTAAGAAAAAAATATGAATATATATATATATATATAGATTTGATATCTGAGAATCCATTCCTCACTTACAATCGACAGGCCACATAATATTTGAGAATCCATTCCTCACTTACAATCTACAAGCTACATACGATATTACATATCGTGAGCGGGGGACAGGGGGGGGGCTTATCTCAGGGGTGGGGCCTTCTTAAGGACGAGGGTATATTCTCAGTCATTTGTGAAAAAAAATATAGTACCAATTATTACCTTGCAACCGTGGTAATCCCATGTTTTATTTATAGTGTTGTAGTATTTGCAAGTACTTTCGAATATAGTGATGTTGAGCTTGTTTTCCGCAGGGAGCGTTTCATCGTCATTTGTTTTAACAGATCCATTGTAGTAAAAGCCGATAAACCATACACCGCTGGCCGTTTGGTTCAAATCATCGTTGTCTAAGAACATTTGATAACGCTGGGGATCAGACTGAGCATCAGTTGAATTTTCGCTCGTCCCAGTCTCCTCTGACTCGTTCCTAAACAGATCATTTGGTATAGCTTGACGAAAGTCGTAGTCAGTTGTTGATGGTTTGGAGCCTCTCTTGCAGAATACTACAGTCTGTGTGTTATTATGCTCAGGGACGCCCCACACATATATCGCACTCTTGTTGTTTGTCACGTTTAACTGCATCACAAGCATATCACTCATTTTAATGGTATGTGTCTCAAGCTTTGCCAAGCCATTTTTCGCCGGAATAAAAATGTCCATGTAAGAGGTGAGGTTAGAGATGTTCTTAGGATTTCCACTTTCATCTTTGAGTTCTAATTGAGTGACTCCACTGTCAACCTTCCCGGCTGATTTACTAAAGGGACTGCCACTAAAAGAGGACATCTGTAAAAGAATGCAAAGATTTTGGTTACCATTGTCTTTGTCGTTGTAATTTCATTGTAAATATCTCTGCCGTTGTTTTTTTCGTTGTCGAGTCGAGCGACCTGCGGGTTGCGATTCCCGCCATTTGGCTGCGTGTGGCCTGGCTCTTAAGGTTTTCCAAAATGGCGGCTACCATGGCAAAATTTTAAGCGAATTTTCAAACGGTTAGGTTAATTGGAATCATATATCGCCACTGTTGATAATCTTTTTTTGCACGATTGTTTTAGTAAACGAAAGAAATGGAACAGTTTCCTAAAATGAGTTCCTTTTTCCTGGGTTACTCGGTTGTTTAGGTTGTCATCCGATATCATCTTCGAAATATTTTGAATAAAACTTTAACACAGACCTGCATCTGAACTGGTTCAGACGAGTTCTTATCGACAGCGGTGCCAAGACCCTTGATTTTACTTCCACCAGCTTGAACCTCCTTCACGTTATTCATGCTTTCTTTCTTTGCCTTCAGACTGAGATCTGAGCTCTCCACTTTGAACTCTTCACCAGTAACTAAAGAGTTACCAGCAGTGGATAAAATCAGGCTAGTAACGTCAAGTGTCTTTTGCTTGGCCTTCTCGTCCTCGTCATTGCCCTGTGGTTAGGAAGTCCAATTTTCAGAATGTTTCATGAGCGCCCATTTTAGGAGAGACCACTTTATCATTGGGTGGTCATTATCAACGATGTTTAGCTTGAAAATTTTCCAGCGGTGATTATAATTATATTACTTTCATGTCACCATCTCGATTTTGATTGGTTAAAAAGTATGCAACCATGTCTTACCAACAGTGTTTCATTACATCATACCTACGGACAATAGGTTTGATAAAGAGTGAAAGTTTCTAAAGAAACTGTGGTGCTGCGTCGGTGGGGGTAACAAGGTAATTTAGTTATATCAACTAAGTTGAAATTGTAAATTGGCCACCGTAAAGAGTTAAAACTATAACGTTTGAGCGTTTGCCCTTCGTCAGAGCGAATGAATAAGGGCTAACGATCAAAACGTCAGATTTTTAACTCGTTACGGTGGCCAATTTACAATTTCCGCTTAGTTGATATAACCAAATAATGGTTTTGATATATGTGGAAGTGATCTACAGACAATGTTTTCAAAGTGTGCTTAGTTTGGGTTTGAAACTTGGTGTTGATAACTTTCGTTATCATCCACAGCCTAGTTCCATAATTGTCACCTAGCTGCTACAAATAATTTCAAATCATAAACAAATACTCCTCGAAATGTGTTCACCTCGTTACCAAGAACCGCTTTTCCAGACGCTTTTCAAACTAATTTGGATAGATTTTGAATAACTTCTTTGGTTTATTCGGTCTAGTATAGCAGCCACACTATAGAGGCGTTTTGTTTGTTTGTTGTTTGTTTGTTAACGACTTCACCGGGTGTGACTAGACCCGGAAGGGTTAGTGCGAACGGAACACAAGGTCCATGCGAAGCACCACCCCTCCCCCCAATTCACCCCCATTAAACCCACCCATCCCACTCCAGGGGAGGAAATCCATCACACAGTAATCTCATACGTGGGAAATTAACGTCTCCTGCCCCTAACCCTATAAGAGACGGGACCTCCATTTATTCGTCCCTATCCGAGGAGACTAGAATATCTAACCATTTCTTGATGTTATAGAAAGGTAGCAAATTCTTCTCAATTATTTTAAGACCCTGAGTGTTGGTCCGGCCGGGGCTCGAACCCTCGACCTCCCGCACAACAGTCCAGCGGTCTATCCATTGAGCTAACCGGGAGGCGGGAGGTGGTTTTCGATCGCTTTAAACAGTCCTAGACTGATAAAATCTGAAAACCTAGTAACTTGTCACCAACTAAGGGCTTAGGCTCGAAAAGGCAGCTTAGTGAATTTGTTTAGGACTGAAAAAGCAAGATGGTAGATTTTGAGCTCGGTGAAGAAATAAAGAGAGATGTTTTTTGGTCTTGTCACGAGCGTGGCAACTTCTTTCTTATTCTATTTACAAACATGACTCTATCGACATCACTAATAATATATGAACTTTGTAATGGCTTTGCTCAACATAGAGTCTCCGTGGCTCAGTGGCAGAGTATTGCAGCGCGGAAGTTGAGGTCTGAGGTTAGATTCCTCAAGGGAACTCAGAATTTTTCCCTCGTTCCACGCTCGTGATAAGACGAAAAACATATTTTTCGATTGTTTATGACTGTGCTTACCTTTTACAATTAACAACCAACAAAGTAGGATTAGTGAGCCTCTTTATCAATTTTATTGTGTAAGGAAGTAAACTAGAATCCCACTTCAAATTACCCTCAGCTTTGCGCACCTAAGAATAGGCCACACATATACTAACTTCTAACCGGGAATATTGGCCCGAGGTCGTGGTAGTGCGCACTGAGCACAGCGGCGAGATATGTGCAAAAACGACCGAAATAAATATATGTAATATTCTCTAGTGCGGCTCAAGCAAGTGAGGCTAGTCAGAAGTTTATTATATGGCACGGGAACCAAACGTGTTTATTTTGAATTTAAAAGCTTTCACGAACAAAAAGACACGGCTAATGACTGTTTTCGGGGAAACGGTCCGTGTGGCAAGTTCCTTGCTAAGTAAGAACTAATCAGAACGCTCGGATTTACCTCAGGACCACCTTGATAAAAGCATATAACATCAACAGGATACCATGCACGCACATTCTGTTTAATAAGAAACCTGGGATTGATACCATCGATTTAATTTCTTTCTTCGGCTTTAAAGTTGGAGAACAGCTTGTAATAAATGATTTGCGAGCTTTGTGTGCGTGAGCTGTAAGGCCGATTTGATTAATGAATGAGCGGTGAGTGTCTTTAGGAATAATATTTACCTTTTCTTCGGTAGAATCCTCGGAAGATTTTTGTTCATCATCATCATCATCATCATCATCATCAAGAATTAATACAGCACTAATGCTGGTCACAAGAGACTTCGCTAAGGTTTCCCGTTTCTTGGAACTCATTGGAGTGTGGAGGACACCGGCACATTTTGACATTGTTTCAGCCATTTTACCCTACAAATTTGCATCAAATTTCAGTTGGTATTCACAACAATTTCCAGTGACAAAATAGCTGATACTTGATAAAGTGAAGTTACCCTGGAAGCTTTTATTGCCAGACAACTGTTCATATTTCAGACAATCTGTGCTCAAGCCTTCCTCCCTGAATTTTTTTTATCAATATTCTTGGTTGTCCCGAATTGAAATCTTTGGCTGCTGTTTGTAAATGGTCAACTGTGGCTATTCTGTCCAGTATCGTTAGATCCGAAAAGAAGTTACTAATTCATAATTAATATTTTTGTAGGTTTTCACGATTGCCACGATTTTACAACTAGTGCTGCCACGGTAGGGAACTCGTTTTAGCTACCCGAAAGTAAAGACCACTCTTTCGTACCCCTTTCTCCCAAAAAGGTTGTAGTTCATATCATTTTGATCACTTTGATGACGAATATCGTTGTCGATAAGAGTACAGACCATGCTAAACCACTGTCGATTTGTTTTTTATCACAATATCGGCATCAAATAAAACGATACTTTTAGTGAGTGACTATTACGTGACACGTTGACGCGAGCAACGTTGTCTGTACTCTTATTGACAACGGCAAACTGACTAATCAGATTGCGACATTTCTGCCAATTGTGGTAAAAACACTGTTACCCCTCCTGTGTTGCGGGTCAACACCCCCCCAGGTCGGCGGTACCCACTTATAATTTAGCGGTCAAACATCAAGCATGTACATGCGTCAACCATGGCCACTTTTGGTGAGCCATGCGTCAGTTTCCTGCAAAAAATTTCAGTGGATAACATAGGAAACAACTTTTGACACACAAAATACGCGTAAAAAATGGAAACGTGAATAGAAATTGTAAAAGGAAAAAAAGCAGTGTAAAGGAAAACTCGGCCATTTTCGAAAAAACACGGGTTTCCTATTGATTCACTATTCCATTTTGAGCTTTACCAAAAACTTTGTACGGTTCTAAACCAATGTGATTAACTGACTTATGTGGTTGTTTGTTACTCCCGTGAGACAAATTCGTCATGACTGCCTGAAAGCATGCTCTTAGCTATTACAACGTTTGCATATGCGCAGACGCTTGACCGCTGCGTGCTCATTAATGCTCTTGGGCGGAGAGAGGTATTGCGAGGGCAACATACACCATAGGTACCAGTCGACGCTAGAAGACGGACCGCTCGACCTGGGTCGAGTAAGCTAACAGTTAATTACCGCGTCTCTCGCTTCACATCAAAACGAAAAAGGGTAAAAATAAATTATGATTATCAAGAGCGTAACGATAGTCGTTGCACTAGGAGTTGACGTTAGTTTGTTTGATCTGTGTAAGTTGTTTGCTGTCGTGTTCCTCTTCACTACCTTTGCATCAGATGAGAGCGTTGTCTTTGGTCCAGAGTTGATCGCTTCTAAAGCGCCTGTTATCTTTAAGGCATCTTCAGGGTTTGAGGGAGGAGGTATCTTGGTAAGTATTCCAACAAGCATTTCTTTCCTCTGTAGAAGAGAATGATAATAATAATAATAATAATAATAATAATAATAATAGAAATAATTGTAATAATAGTAACTGTAATAGTAATAACAATTATAATAATAATTATAACACAATGTTTGGGAGAGTGTCACGTTTCATCAAATTATAAGGAAATTTAAGTACGATTGTTTGTCACCATTTGTTCATTACGATATGAAGCTCGCCCGAACTTTTAGAGGATAAAAGATGCGCAACAGCTCTATCTAACCTTTTCAAGTGCTTCACGTCTCTTCACAACCATCATATGCATCAACTGTTATCTAACATTTCAGTTCAACGTTGTACCATAAAAGTAATTTCCCTCTACTCCGGTTAATTGTAAACACCTCATTATCAGCTTACACAATGATAATATGAAACGTGCTGGCACGATTTAATTTTATTGGAAGAATTTACAAGAAGCTGTGTAATAACATGCGTCAAGGGCTTTCCGTAGTTGTTAATGTGTGAGAAACCTAAGTTTAGCGTAGAGGCACAGCCCCTGAGAAGTCGACTAAAATGACCGAATCACACGAGCGTACCGCTGTAAAATCCGTTATCAAATCTGAACAGAACCTAGTAAGTCTTCCTTCCGACAGCAACTCGGTTTCTATTGCATGACACAACGCATATCCCTTCCGCTGGTTGGTCTATAGCAAGTTAACCCCACCCACCGAGGAGTTCTTTTGATGTTTCATTCATAGATACCTGAATTTATTTATACACAGTAGAATCCTCCAGCACGATCTAAGAGTAATAAATATCTCATTGTCTAGCTAAGCTAACTAATAGTTTATGAGAATAAGAAACTATCATATCATTAAAGCTGCTTTCTATGATGCCGTGTCTCATTCAAATCTGTAATGACGCACTTAACTTTAAGATTAAAGAAATTGTTGATAGGAGTTCATAGGAAAGGCTATTCCACAACATAGCACCGACATAAGATAAATATATGTTGCAGGGCTGTGGGGCATCCGAGTTATTCTCAGAATTCCTCACTCGGTACAAAGTAATATCATTTTGGGATTCAAATGGAGGATGTAGATATTCAGGGGTCAATCCATGTAAATTTTTGGGCATCATTTATATTCTTTCGTGGAGAAAGGCTCTGTGAGAGTGGGGTGCCGGGTCAATCTCTCAACTCAATGAGCCAGCCACAGCTGGAATACGGTCATCTCTACCTCAAGTGCGGCGCATTCAGTTACCAATTCTCCTAAACGTAGTACTCTATTCTTGAAATATTTTGGCTTAATGGAGTTTTTGGAAAAAAAATAGTTGGTGACTACCGTGTTTTTTCTGTTCCAAGAGACTCCTTACAGGACATTTCAGAAAGAAAAGGCAAATTGAACTCGTTGGAAAAGATACGGGGTACATCTGGATTGCATGAAGCAAACTTTACCTCTTTCTGTTCCTTTTGCTCCTCTTCACTCGGTTTCACTTCTTCATTCTGCGCAGAATCTCGTTGGGCTGATTGAGCTGACATAGCAGAAGCGACTCCACCAATCGCATTCAACGCTGCATCTGGATCCCCAGAACTTATAAGTACATCGATATTAGCTGTTGCTTCATCCAACTTGGCGGAAATTTCTGCTGCGTTTCCTGCGGGCATTTTTACCTGGAAAATAAACCAAAACACGGCTGTTAGTTGGAATTCTCTCCGTTTATGAATAAAAGAGGACTGTTGACAAACGTCGCTAAGTTAAACACAAGTACGGTTTACCGAGCTCATTTATGATTTTTAAACTAGTACCTAATACTAAATGAATACAGATTGTACCGTTGCTATGATGATATTTGTTGAGTCACAGCAGTAAGAAAGATTGGACCTGTTTTCCAGTAAAAATGCTTACCTTAAAGATTAGGGATTTCTACCAATATTTCCCCATCAACCTACAGTAGAAGTATTGGCTTTTACAGAAAACCCTTCCCCTTTCCAACGACGAATTTTTTTACAAGGAACCACTTTCAAACAACTTCTAAAGCTATCGGCATCCCTTCCTTGATTCAACTCCCGAAAGAGAAGAAGAGGGGGGCACCTATTTTGGAGGAAGTGGAACTGAATCCATTGGGGCACTCACTAAGTTTATTCCCAAATCGTATTCAGATGTGTTCGCCTTCTCTATTTTTTTGTGATTATATAAATTCTGAGCTGATAAAACAACACAAACTGTGTTTTGATATGAAACACAAGTACTCAGGTTTTAATTGCGGCATAAAACGTTCTCTGAGATCCTGACGAGTTAAAAACCTTAGGAAAGGACCTTGCGATCCCTTATTACGCACTTAACCGATTCGGCGCAAGGAATCACTTTTCAATGAGAAGGGGTAGGGAGGGGAGGGTGAGCTCATTTAAAGTCGCAACACATTATCCTTATGAAACTAGACAAAATGACTCGAAAGACATTTTCTATGGAGCATGGCCTATGCTGAGAACTCAGTCCCTTAGAGTGATCTCCCTCTTGCCTTTACCCTCTTTCAAGCGAAGAATACCTTTATAGGACGATAAAACCCTGAGCCTGGAATCGCTCGGGGGTGGCGGAGGGGGGCAGCAGCGGGTTATTACCTGCACTTTTACGATGAATTTTGTATCAGCATCGTCTTCATCTTTGATTGTAATGATGACGTCAATGTAGTTTTCGTATTGAGCTAAGCCGACTGGTAAAGTTTTAGACGACAGAGAGTAAGTCTGGTCCATCGAAAGTGGCTCGGCGGGTGATATAGGAAGTTCTGCTTGACCAGTCTCGACACTGGCTGTTACACTGTAGATCAGTTTAGTATCGTCAGACCATCCGGAACAAGTGATTCTGAAGTCGGGTTGTAAGGCGAAACCCTGCTTTGGAAAGACATCACACCGACCATTTTGTGGCGGCATATTAACCTCTTTTTCATATTCTGCAAATCCGAACACTTGTTTTTTGGTTGATATAACCCAGCTTTCCAAGCGGAATTTATAAGTTTTTCCCCCTTTAAGCTTGTCAGGCTTTACGGCAAGGGTTTTGCCGTCGAGAGGGGTGGCCACCATTGCGGCTGGATTTGAAACATCAACATAGTCATCACCATTTTTTACAGATATTATCCACAGATATGCGACAGCAGTCTGATCACCGCATAAATCGCAATCAGCGTTTCCAATTAAATTCAGGTTTACCGATGGGTTTATCTTCCTGCCACAGTTTGGAGCTTGCTTGGAACAGCTAAAAAAAGATCAAACAAAACAACCTGTAAGGCGTCTGTGAAGTTAGTGGATTATCACACCTAATACACAAAACAAAAATTTATTGAATAGAAATAAACTATGATGGGTGAACATGGAGAATTGAGCAACAGCGTACCCACCCCTCCCCTAACCACACCTCGTCCCGAACTTGTTATCAGTTAGCTGTTGTTTAGACGCAGATCTAAAATGTTTGTATCTGTTTCACTTACGTAATCGCCACTTCAGGAGGGTCTCCAGCAGTCATTTGCAGAGTAATGCAAGCAGTACTTTTCCTGGTATCTTTGCCGACTTGAACACACACTTCGTAGTCCGTGAAGGCTGCCATCCTGAGCGTGTTAAATGTAATACTTGGCTCAGATGTATTCAGTCTTCCCTTTGGATATCCAAAGCAGCCATCTTCATCAAGTTCGGTCGACGTACTGTTGGTATCGTTACCCGAATCAGATATTGGAATTGGAATTAAGGGGTAGGCGTCAAGCTGGGTGCAGTTTTCCAGCAGGCCAGGATCGTAGCTTCCTTTCTTAGCGCAGAACCAACAGAATTGGAAGTCACTTGGACTATTCGACACTTCGTCTGGATCACTGGTCTTTAGGCTACTGACTGTTGTATCTTTCCCTTGCCCCACTGCTCTGGATGTTCCCTGATCTATTACTGCTTCAATGTCAGATGCTTCAATTTTGATGTAACCATAGGAAAAGCTGACGACTCCTGTTACGTTGACCATAGCCACGCTGAAAATGAGACGGAATACTCCATACTCTGAAATCCCTCTGGCGGGAACGTCCAGGCTTGGAGCAGTCAATGAAATAGTCGTCGCTACAGAAACACTCCTCTCCTTGGAGGAGGTCTCCATTTTATTAACCTGCCAATGAAATTCAGTCTGGTCTGTTGCTTCGCAGTCCAGAGTTATGACGTTGCTGATCTTGAACCCTTTCTTTTTAGGGTACCCCACCGCGTTTTCTGGGCTTTGTCCAACCAAATTAGTTTTCATGGTCACATTAGGGAATTTGCATTGCTTTTGTGTACACACCCCTTCCCCTCGTTTGACGATAGTGTGGACCAGATTGCACGCAGTGACAGTCACGTTTAATACTCCAACCTTAACACACTCCTGTGTCCAGGAGAATTTTTTAGGATTACTCCAGACTGTCCCCTTTGAACTTGCTTCACCACAAGCTGAAGGACAGGATTTGGAATTTTTAAAGTTCATGAGTTTGTAGCCACTGATGTTCACAAAAAAGCACGAGTCAGTTCCAGCTTCGTCAAGAACAACCTCAAATGAAATAAGTTTTCCCAGAGTTTGAGATCCATCCGTTTGGAATGTGCTAATTTTTATCATACGCTGCATGTTGACGACTCTAGTTGTGATGTTACGACTGATAGCATTTTCGGCAATAAGCCTGACCTCGTACCTTCCAGGGTCTTTAAAAGTATGATTCAGGGAAGTGTTCACCGTGGTTACACTTTCTCCATCATCGAAGTCCCAGAAGTAAGAGACATTTGTCCCGTTTCTAATGGAGGTGCTAAACATGACTGGAAAGTCATTTGGAAAGTATGTATTCCCAGGACCTTTCCCCGGCTTGCCTTCTTCCTCCTCGGGTCCAGTATGAACAAGAAAAGTTTGTAAACCTGCTATTGGTGTTTGAACTTCGACTTCAGTCTCTAAGAAGGCGAACTGTACTTGATTGGCTACGGTGATATTCATGACATAGGCGCCGTGGTCTTGATAGCTGTTTTGCAGCACAAGAGGAGCGGAAAAAGGCTGATCCGCGGACGTGCTCCCATCGCCATAATGCACAGTGTAGTTTGCATCAGTTGGGGGTTCTTCTCCCGGCTTAACAGCAATCGTAAAAGTGATCGTTCCCAGTGGAATCTCTTGTGGGCTGTTCGACGTGAGGGTTAAATTAGGTGGGTTTTGTATGAAAACAGGGATAACACTGGTAAAGTTACTGACGCTGTTATTACCAAAAAGGTGAACTATGTATTCGCCCTCGTCATGAAACGTGTGTTCAATAGTCATGCCGTCGACAGGGAAGGGTCCTAGGTAGTTTTGTTGTATAACCAGTGAACCATCGGTGAAATTCCACCACAGGCTTACGTTAGACCCAGCTTTTAAACTAAACGAGAAGTTTGTCTCTATGTGCACCTCCACAAACTTACTGGCACGGGTTAGAACTGGCGTAGTTATTGGAACATCAATCATGACGGTTAGACAAATGGTTTGACGTGGAGTGACGTAATTGATAGCTGTCACCATGAGCTCGTAAAAGCCAAGTAAGGGCATCATGTCTGAAGTTATGACAGCCGATCCGGAGGTCTTATCCTTAGACGTGGTGATGTCTGTCACATTGAAGGAAGCCCCATCGATCACGTGCGTGAAGGTTAGATTATAGATGGCGTCGGTACCTGAAACGGTACGCCAGGTCAACGTGAAATCCTTTTGAAAAGGTTTGGCAATTGGGTCATCAACGTTGAAGCCAAGAATTGGAACCTCAACGATCGCTGTGGTTTCTGCGGTTGTGTTGTACAAGCGATTGGTACAATTTAAAGCAACGTTATAATGCCCCACAGCGCTGTAGTTGTGATACGTGAAATTTCCAAGATCCACGACATGAGTTTCACTGGTTGTGTGGTCCGCCCAATTCCACGTGCACCTGAAGTCCGTTCCTCCTGTGATGTTGAGCATACAGGGCACGTTGTCAGTTAAATTAGTGTGAGGGCAGGTGACGTTGAACCCGATCAGTGGCTTAACTGGCTTGTGAACTTGAATCTCTTGGGATGCGTTCTCTCTGCTCACGTTATTATAAGCTGAAATACTAACATTGAAGAAGGCATAGTACGAATACGAATGCTGAACTCTTAGTTCTCGGGTTGTAGTAACCGAACCGTCTCCAAAGTCAATAAAAAAGTCAGCATTGGTTCCTTGGGAGACTGTTATTTCAACGGTCACGGTCTCATTCACTTCGATGTCCCTATTAGCATGGATGACGTTACATGTCACGCCTTTCAGCGGCAATTCCACAACAGCCATGTCTTCAATAGACGCGTTGGAAACCCAGTTCGACACGTTGATTATCACGGTATATTCCCCTGTCGCGGCATATTAGTGACTATTTATGGCGGCAAAGAGGTAGGCGATATCGAAGGAGCCGTTATGGAAGGAATCTCCATCGCCAAAGTCAATTGAAATGTTGACCCCGTTTCCCTGTCGAAGCATCCACATCACTTTTGTGTCATTTCCCAGGGGTACAGGACGGATAGGTTCGTAAAATGATAAACCTAGGACGATATCTTGAACAGTCACATAACAGGCCTTTATCTGAAACGACATCATATTGATAACGTACAGAGAAATTCTGTAAGAACCGCTCGCATGATATACATAGCTGGACGGCAGATCGGTATCCAGACGAATTTTCTGCATGGTGTTGTTCTTCCCGGCGCCAAAGTCCACAACATAAGTGACATTATAACCTTTGTGAGGATGTATTGTGATAGTATAAGTGGCATTCGTAGCTACAGCTTTAGGCGTTGTCCAAGTTACATTGGCCACCCCTTCAGTAGCAACGATTGTTGTTGTGTCTTTTAAGGTATTGTGTGGACCGCGGACTGTAGCTTCCTCGTTATAACTACCGATGGAGTAGTTATGAGTAAACCAAAACAGCGAGGGAAGTTGTTGAATTGCTGCAATCGCATACTGGATTTGTGATTCACTTGGAGAATTCGAAGCGGTTGTGATAATCGAACCAAGGCTAGGCTGTAAATCGCCAAAAGTAAATGCTGTGGCATTCATCTTCCGACTGTCCCCAGAATTCCGAGACGTTATCTCAGCAAATCCTTGTCCATAATAGGTAAACCCTAGGATATCTCCCTCCTTTACATCTGTGCAGTTCTTGACGTCATCAAACTGAAAAATATGACATCCAGGCTTGGAGAGGAAGACATGACTTTCTATAACTAGCTCGTACTTCTCGCCCAGAGCTGCGCTCGGCATGTATTGGGGCGTCATGTTTTCGTCAGTGCACGTGCCCGTTGCGGTGGAAAACACCTGGCTACTCGTGCATGTAGAGGCATGTAGATTAGCACAGGGTGTCAGGTTAATAGCACATTTGCTGTTCGAATAACAGTATTTATTGTATGTCCCTTTACCGCAAACCGGTCTGAATGCCTGAGAGAAACAAGAAAGAAAAAGATTACTAGCCGTATTGATGCCTTGCATCACGGAAATCATCACTGTAAGAATAGAGTGAAGACCCATATGGATCAAGTACACAATTCTACGATCTTGAACGGCCCCTGAATCAAAACTCTGTTAGTTATCACCTTTTCTTTGAGCATGAACTAAACCGAGCATACAATGAGAAGACAATAAAAAAAAAGAAAGAAAAAACGTACTTCAAATTTTTTGTTAATCATCATTGTATAGTTAAATGTACAGCTCTCCTATTTCTATAAGTACATGTGTTGCTTTGCTACATTACCTAACAGAAGTTTACCATTCAAAAGTAATTTTCGATTTAGTGTCGAAAATGAAGGGGGATTTCTTTGATTCTAATTAGGTTTGCTCTGTGATTGGTCCAGAAAGCTTACTCTAATTTCTCAACCAATCACATTCAAACCTCGTATTTGGTCATTCGTGTTTTCAACGCTTAAGGCTCTCGGCTTGTTTTTACGTGAGGGTCTCATTGACCCCTGGGAATGCATTTCCTTTTTCTGATTGGCTGTTCTAATAAGTTTAATTTTCGTCTCACGAAATTCAATCAATTTGCGCTTCACTACAATTCGTTCACTGAACCCAATTTAGCCGTGGAACCCCACTAGTTCATTAATTTCATTGGATGAGCGTAGAATCGATGATACAGTGTCATGTTAGCGCGCTGGAAAAATTCAGATGGGTCTCTTTGTGTTCTTGAGCAAGACTTTCAAAGCACATTTCTCCAAACTGGAGCATAGATGAGCGCCACTGAACTGTCAGGAAAATCTGACGAAATGTAAGGAGTTTTCCTTTGATGGGGAAGTATTCTATCAAAAAAGGGAGTACACATAATCCTGCTCATTTCATTTTACAGATACGTGGGCCATTATGCTTAACATCACAGACCAAAATAAACTTCGTTAAATGGATGAAGACTGCTAATGTATCCTCTACCTGTAGGGAAACGAAGCCGCTGGTCTGCGAACAAATTCTCCATCCCATCAACTTGCCATCTTCTTCAAACCTGTAGCTGGGGATTAGTATTGTTTTGTTCGAGGACTGGCTCAGAGCACTTCTGGCTTCGATTTGAAAATTCTCTCCCACAAGTCTAGAAATAGCATCTTTAAAAAAAAAGTACGTTTATCAAAACTCTGTATCTTCCGATAGTCCGGTGCGCTTCATTATCATTGTTATAAAGTTAGTGAGGGGAGATTATGATTGCTACTCCCTGTTGTATAAGATTTTTCGATTTTGTTGTAGACTTATACACATTGATCCCTATCGAGCTTCAACTTCACCCTTTCACTCCAAAGATCTTATTAGTAATTCTCCATACTACCCACCATCCAATCCTAAACATGTTAGTTTGGAGAATTTGGTATTGGATCAACTAAAAATCCCTTCATTCATATTCTTCTTTATTCTTATCACGTTTCTACCAGATATTATATTGATATTGTGAGGAGAAATTCTCTCTTGATCACTCAGGGGATTTAACGGGTTTAACAACAAATACTCCTGAAATAAGTGCAGCTATGATCATTGTTTAAAACAAAAAACTTGCAATAATATTGGTATTTGTAATGGTACAGTTTTGATGCAGTAGCATAAGTGTTCCATGCAGTGATTACTTTCAAGGCGTCTACTGCACGAAAGTAGGCCTTGAAACTTAATATTACCGTCTAAAGGTGTTGTATATGAGTTTCCACCGGTGAATTGGATATCGAGATGCATGTTGGATCCTTGGTAGACTTTGACAGGACAATGAAACTCTTCATTTGCCTCAACGGCTGGTGGACAGTTGAGTTCAAAATGAGCCGCACGAGAGTGAACGTTCACCTGTAGTGGACCAACATTGAACCAGTCATTGGCCAAGTTTGAATATGAAAACCTTTAGATTAAAAGTTTTATCGAAATCGGGAGATTGGTTGGAAGCTTTAGGCTGACAGATGTGTTTCTGTTACTTAATTGGACGAAAAAAAAAGCAAGAGAAGCGCGGTAAAAAGAAGAATGACGAGGAAAAGATAAGGAAAATATTTGGCAGCAAAAAAGAAGACGAATGGGAAGAGATGAAAGGAGGAGTTGAAGAATTGGTAGAAGGAAAAATAAAACTGAATGAAGGGAATAAGATAAAAATGAGAGAGGAGTTCAGAAAAGTAGAAAATAGAGGAAAGTAGTAGAGAAGATATGTAAAGGTAGAGCGCATATCTGTGGTTGATTTTACATGATTTTGGATCGCATAGATTGTCTATTGAACCAAGACATTTGTCACCTAATCCTTAAACGGATCAGTACAGAGTTCTTGAATACATCAAGGTGACTTACCGCCCATGAAGTGAACTTCGTTTGAGCTTCTCCATATTCCCCCAGCAGGACGCGGCCATAACCGCTATGTTGGCCATCTGTGTGGTAAATGTAGGACACCGACGTGTTCTGTGTGGTGAACACAACATCCTCGCCAAAATCCAGCGTGTAGGAGGCGCCTGGGTAACTGGAATATGTAGCGGTAATCCTTTCGTACACGAACGTGCTTTCCGGCACTGTCACCTCAAACGAAAAATTGTAATTCCCCAAAGCTTGGTAAACACTGTAAGATTCCCGCCCTCCACAACGCAAGACAATGTTTCCCGTGCACGGCTCGTTGCATTGTGGCTCCCCGACTATGCTGCTCATGTCCAGTGAATCTGAGCACCAGCACTGCTCGCCGTTCCTTAACGCCGAGAATTGGTACCCTACGAGTCCACAGCAAGTGGTGCAGATTTCAGCAGTTAAGGCATCTGATGCATAGTCTCCGCAGGCTTCAAATGTGCCTTTTGTAAGACACCCAACGTAATTTACCGCTGTGTTCCAAGGAAAGAATTAGAACATGTTCTAGAAATTAAAATCGTGGTAATCTCTTTTGAATGAAAAATTAAAGGATGAAGTGCTAATGAGAGCACATCTTTCGTACTTTGTAAACCAATCTCATGATCCCGGCTCACCCCTCAGAAAAAATTTCAGTAAGTTTCCTGGATGAGACATTGCAAATTGTACTGGCATATAATTACTTTTTAACACAATTGTACTCAAGTTAAATGTGCCCCTAGTGACTAACACAGTGTTGTTACCAATTGCCTTCCCATTTGGGAAGTACTTAGCTGAATTCGATGCCCCATTCTGCTGAGAAAATTGATAGCTTATCACTTAATTGCAAGGTTAACTTAAATGCAAAAAAAAAAAAGAAAAAAAAAAACAGTGATGTTCGCAGGTTTCATGCTTGAAGCATACAAACCTGTTGTATTTCCATATACTTCTACTTTCAGTGCTGGCTCGCTATACCAAGACTTGCAGTAAAAACGGATGAATCGGGCACTGAGAGGCGGGTTTATCGTATTTTTCACTATATCTGTAGCATTTGTGTTTCCCGTAAATATCTGTTTTAGGATAAAAAGAGGAAATTAATTGATTTGTACGAGAAAGGTTGGATATTATGGCCAAACAGGAATGTCACACCCATGTGACTTACCTTAATCAAATTACCATTTTTATAAGTTTGCCAAATAGCGCCACCTTTGCTGTGGGACAGAGTGTACGTCTGGCAGTATGAGCTGCCTCCATTTATTAACACACCTTGCGTGCCTACTGCAGAAACCACCTTGACTTGGTTTAAGTCCACCTGAAGCCACTGTTCGCTCGTGATAATTTTTGGCTTCCACGCTCTATCCTCCCATGAGCCATCTACAAATAAAAAGGTGAAAGTAATCAATTTATATTAAAGCCTTTTCAGACCTCAGAGCTAATTTAAGATGAGAATGCTTTTTACAGTTTTAACAAAGAAGACATATTAAATATTCCTGCGTGAAAAACCACGTTTGAAAAAAACTGCACAACTGGTACACAACGAGGACATCGTTTTAACGGGAAGTACGAAACTTTATGCTTACCCGACATCCTTCATGTCACAACACGTTATTTCATTTTCATATTTCATCAAGGAGAACTTAACTAAGCTATTTAAAATTTTACGAAGATCCCTCCGCCAAGCATTCCATTCTAACTGTTCACTGTCGGCAAGCTCTACGTAAGCGTTTCGTACCGCGCTCTAAAGGTCGTATTTGAAGGGGCCGATATCAATGATCATAAATTTCCTTGACAGATTTGAATTCAAATTTTCAGCAAAATACTGAACATATACCGCCAAGCTGCACTGTGTTACGTACGATCAACACGACTCGCAAGGCAAGCTATTGTTTTGGACTGAAAACTAACTTGGAATGTTTTTCACAACAATGTGATAACTGCTGCGTTTTTCTTACCAAAATAAGGCAGATTTGCGCAATCCCGATCCAATTCGTAAATCTCGGACTTGCGATCGTACTCGTCTTAAGATCTACAGATTTCTTAAGTCTCAGACCATATTTTCTCCCAAAAGGCGCTATTAACTATCTGTTGGCTCTGATCGATAGTTATTACGTCGATTTAACACAAAAGAGAAGGAAGAGCGGGATGTAATTGGAAAAACGTGAATCGAACCTAATTGAGATCGCCATATCAGACGACCTCTGGATGAGGAATACCCAGGTATTCTTGATGAAGCTGACATCGGTCCTGAAAATCCTGTACCAACACCAAGCTTAGCTGAAGGAAATTATAAAACATGTGTAAACAAGAATTACTGCTAGATTTATAGATGAGCCTTTCTAAGCAAGTGACTTGATGAAAAAAAAATCTCCGAGTGATAGCTACAACCAAGTTGGAGATAAAAAATTATAAGGCTCACTTCAAACGTGAACTTAAACTGAGTGAATCAATTTCATGTAGAGTTAAACGTTTGAAACAGTTGAATTCGTCGAGTCCAACTGAATTTCGATCCGCCAACACGTTTTTTTCGTCTTCTTTAGACAGATAGAGCGTTTGAAGATTGACTGGGGTACAAACGTCCGTCTCTTTAGTAATGAACAAATTACAAATCGCTTGATTTAAAATCTCGCTGACCGAAAGATTCGTTTTGCTTCTCTGAATTTGGTTCGACGTTTCACCGAGCGGTCGGTAAAATTTTTACCCGTTTGGGCGAAAAAAATTGCAATTCGTTACTATCAATTAATTTTGTCTCATATGAACTGGGCCTGAGAGTTACCCTGTACTTATATTGGGTCGCTGAACATTTCTGTAAACGACGTATACTTACAATTTCCGCTGAGGCCGTCGTGTTGAAAGCAAGTGCTGGCACCGGAATCGTAACAGCAACCGATTGAGATACACTTGGGCTTTGGAATACCACTCCAACCGCAGCTAATACGATCAGATTTCTCAATACTAGCACAGGGCGGATACTCTGTCAAGGAAGAATACATAAAATACTGTTATAATTTCTATCAAAGTAGGTAAAAGTGCGAATGGCTTGAGTGAATTTTACAAGAAATTTCACGCTGATAACTTTAAACACGGGTATTTCTAGTTTTGCAGAAATCAATAAATGAACGCATTAATAAGAAGAAGCTCCTGGTAAAGGAAGAAGAGGGACTGAGGGGGAGGGGGAGAAGGAGACGACGATAAGGAAACAAGCTTAGTGGAGTGGACAAGAAATCAAGATCGCCTTTACAAAGGAGATGAATCCAGATAAACTGCTCGACGTATCTGAGCCCTACGGCATGAATCGAGCCAGGATTTCTTAAGGCAAGAGATTTCCCATACTCAGCTATGTCCTTGATAATTTGGTTTTATCAACTGAGTTGATAATGTGAATAGGCCGCGCATAAAGAGTTTCAAAGTTGACGTTTCGAGCGTTATCCCTCCGTCATTCGCTCTGACAAAGGTCTTACATGGTTTTCCCACCGACGCAGAACCACAGTTTCTTTAGAAACTTACCCCCTATACTCACATATCCTAGATTCTGTGAAACAAAGGAGTCAGAAAACTAGTCATTCCGACGCGCTGAATGTTACAGAAATAAACGAGGCGTGAAACCTGTTCACCAGGTGGGGTGTCAATCCTTTGAACACAAGGTGTGGTACATTTGTATTTTCAACCCTTATATAGAAGAATGACGAGAAAAGCGGAGAATACGGGCAATTCTCAGCGACAGCATTTATTGCAACGTGCGAGGTGAAGTAACACCGTAAGCTAGACGGATTACAATCGAGGTAACCTACCGGCCTGCAATCCAACGCAGTGGAACATTGTCAACATTTCTTGCTTGCTCAAAGGTCTTTTGTATATGACGACTTGGCTGAGACCGCTGTCAGAAACCCCGCCCGCGGGACGCTTCCCCGCAAGAAGATGTGTGTGCGTCTCCTCGAGTCTTGATACGGACGAACGAGAGCCGCTAAGCTCGTAGACGCCGTTCACGATGAGAAATGGCGACTCGCCTTTCTTCCAGCTCACAAAAGCATGGTACCAAACTAGGGTAGTTATTCTGAGTTCAACCACGCCTGCTGCGTCATTTGAGTAGAATCGGAAAGTCAGTTTGGAAGAGTCCTTGTCGTAGGAAATGAAAAGCCCACGATCAGATGATATCTCGGCGGTGTGAAAGATATCGCTGCTACCAATTACCATCACCCAGAAACCAATAGTAATTCCTGTATTACATACTGCCGCGTCACTGACACAATCTCCAGAAAAGTCACCAAATTCGATGGTTTTATTTTTAGAACTATTAAGTTTCACGCCGAGGCTTGCCATTCCATGGTTTCCAGGACCATTTCCTACGGATGATTCATCAAGTTTCCCGTGCTTCGAGCCAATCAAGTCATACACAGTACCAGCTACAACTTTGTCCAAGGGCCAGAAATGATCAGCACCTTTGTAGCATTTGACTGAAAAAGAAACAAAAGATAAGTTCTTTTCGGTGGAAACTCCTTCATCTTCATTCTTCAACTTAATGAGTGGAAACTCTAAGTTCAAAGGCGTTATCCACGAAAAATTTAAGCAAAACAGTTTCATCCCTCTGAGATCTCAATTGATAAAATAATTTCGCATCATGTCTTTTAATTAAACGGGTCAGGGGAGGAAGGGCACGTTGATCGGCCTACTTCATTAATTATCGTTCAAAGTTGCAACTTTGTCTCCGAGTATGCCTGTGTCATTCACTCGAATAACTAGGCTTAAAAGTTACCATCTTCCTTTACATCATCATTGTGCAAAAGCGTCACATTTAACATGCCAATCCTTGTAGTGTGAAGGAAGTTTGTCTCCATGTACCTACAGTAGTTAAGCGATCTAGCCTGCCACGAGTCTCCTTCAGCTCAGCGACAGAGCATCCGAAGTACTAATCGGAAGGTCGTAGGTTCGACTCCTATCGGGAGCACTCGGAGTTCTTTTTCTCATTCACTAAATAAAATTCATCTCTCCCTTTTTTCAAGTTCTAACATTATTAGTGTGAAATTTTATAAAACATAACATGCCGAGACTCACTCTCTTTGTTGCAAAGAATAATCCCTGTTTCCGATGAGCCATCAGCAGTGAACGACACGTAGCTAATGGAAAAAGGATTTGGGTTATTCCATTGAAGAATAACTTCACTGCCAGACCCCAGGACCAGGTTGCTCGAACGGAAGTCAATCCAGAAGGTCCGCCATTCGCTCGCGTCGAAAGGATGACCTGATATATCTGCGAAATGCTTCGACACTTCTTGTCCACCCTCTGTCGCAAGATAAATGGTGGATTTGGAATTACCGCCAATATCGTAGCGGTATCTAGCAGAGTTTGCTTGTGGCTTTTCGTATAGAGTTATGCTGACTTCTTGGCCAGTCATAACCACAACCGAG